ATCCATCAAAAGAGCCTTCATACCAGGACCACTGTCTTCTGTCATTCGAGTAATATAAAATTTTAAAGCAATTATTAAATTCATTTTATCTTACTCTTGTAAACTTTTGAACGCTTTTACATATTATAAATCTGGTACAAGTTATATATTTAATCAGCGGATATTACAAAATACAAAATTACTTTATATCACAAAATACACTTCATAAATGTAAACACCAGCCTTCACGCTATTCTTATATATAAGTATTATTAATCGTTCTAGTTACGAATTTTGTAGGTTCATACAACCAAGATTAAAGGATGGAAGGAACATAGGGAATAAGTGTAGTAACTTGATTGGTTGATTTCATTTTTCCTTATTTTATAATTTTTGCATATGTTTATTAAACAATGACTACGAACAAATTCAAAGTATTCTATTATATATATATACGTACATTCAGATCACAATTTTACAAGTATTAAATAATTACAATACAGATTATTTTGTGCATAGATATGGTAAGTCTGTTCTTTAGTTTTAATAAATTTAATGATATTAGATTATTATTTCGAAAAAGAAGGAACATGATTCTTTCTCCATTTTTCAAAAAAATTTATTTAACCAATCCACGTGTGGCTCATTAGCCTAAAGAAAGAATTTATCATAACGTAATCAAAATTCAACTTAGAAAAAACCAAATATTCAATTTTTGTTTTCTTAACTCTAAAACTATGAAAAGTTTCCTTTCTTGTTGGTTATATCTCCAACTGCCAATCATGTTGCTTCATATAGTCTCATAATTACGTAAACAATCATGGATACTGAGGGAAGAAAAGAAGTAGTATTGTTAGAAGAAATTAATGTGAACAGTACTTGGGAAATGTTACAGAAAGTATTTTTATCAAAATAAATCATTTTTATTCAATATAACCTCACACTATTTATTCTTAGTTTTGAAAAAACTAACCAAGAGCCATTAGATGTACAAGCACAATAACTTCTGAAAAGGAAAAGTTAGTAGCAACAGTCCGTCAGTTAATACAATAATATTACATTATAAATATTTTCTTGGTATTTATTATATAGACAGGAATTTATAGATAGATTATTGAATAGAAGACTCCTTCACATCCAAAAGAACTATTAAAAAAAAGAAAACTAGAACAAGGAAATGAATATGTAGATGCAAAAAGAAATTTAAATTTGGAATATCATTAATTTCGCATTAAACTTTTAATGTTAAAATTACATCTCAAGTAAAATTTTTAATATTACAATATAATTATAAAGATTGATGGGGATTTGTAAAAGAACTTATTATTTAATTTATAATGTTTTGAATGGAAAGAATTTGTTATATTTGTACTCGTAATCGAATTTGAAATGTATTATTTCAACGAAAAAGTTTTTAATTCTACGTCACTAAAATTTAACATTTTGTAGATTTAAAAATATGCGCGTAAAACTATAGTAAGAGATTACCTTTCTATGTGTAGTTTATAAACGTAGGTGAGACGAGGAAAAACTCGCTTCATTTTTCCTAGTCAATGTTAGAACATAACGTATCATTACAATAACTGTTAGTAATTTAAAAAAGCATAGTGATGTTTGATCATCTATCTTTATTGTTATTTAGTCTATGGTTTTTGTAGTGTAATATCATGTAAGATTTTCACTAAACTGTAGGATTAACTGTGAACATTTCGTGTATTTTATTTTTCCACGTGGTTCTTCAGGAATGAATTAAAATAGTTAAAGTTTTGAACCATTTAGAAATAATTTAATGTCATTTTTTACTAATGCTTATGTTTGTGAATACAACTCATCAATACTGTGTAATATGTCTATAAACAGTTTGAATTGGTGCTATTCGATGCAATTTTGATACATTGTACCAAGAATTGTAATACTTCATTATAAACGTAAGTATATTTCACTAAGTTTAGAATACTTTAATGCAACCTATACAAATTGAACTAATAACATTGTTATTAATGTGTGTATATGTATACTACTTTTAAATATTGTCTTTGTTATAATCTTTGTTAAGATATAATGAATGCAATTATATTTGTGCTTATTATAGCACACAGCTCCTTCTTATACATCGAAATTGCGTATAAAAAAATATTGGGAATTCAACTAAAAGTTTTAATATTTAATTTTACAATAATTTTATTGTTTTCGTTGTATTTTCAATAAATTAAGTGCTATTATACTAGCAATGTATTAAAAATGTATTAGCATACTATTATATTAAAAAATAATGAATTAATATAGTATCTAAAATATTTGAAAATTTGAAGGAATATGTGAAAGAAATGACACATAGAAGAATATGTAAAATTCTTCAGCTAACATTTTGGTCTTTCAATTTACCATTGTCTCATTTATTACAATATACAGAAAGTATTTTTACCTACAATGAAATTAAGGTTATTTACATGTCTTAAGAAGCTTTACAATTTATGTTATTTGTTATATATTTCTTACAAAATAGTAAAAATACTTTTATTTTGTTGAAAATACAAAAA